TCTTAACCAATGCGCAACTCGGCCGGCCCACCATAGCATTCTTGAAGGTCGATTGCGCCTGCTTCCTTTAATGATCCAAGGACCTTTAGAGATCTAAGCACGTGTTACAAAGGAATAAGACAGGAAGTTGTTTCTAGTCTTGTAGATGGGGAAACTGATTTAGAAGTTCCTTTCTGCTGTGGGCATACCAGATGCTCTGCAAGTGCAGCCTGACCACGAAACCTTGTCTGGGTCTCTAGATCCTTTTCCAAGTTGTCCTAACATCTGAACCACTCCAGATTCCAGAACAGAAAGAAACCTTTGCTCCGGGCAGCCTACCTTGGACAAGTCTTACTCATTGAAATCAACATGATTCTATCCTGCAAAAAGCCAAACACAAAAGGGTGGTAGTGGTAGAAGGGGCAGAATTGATATTCTCATTTGTTTCCCTTAAAGTTCTTAAATTATATTTGCACTTTCATTTGACTCCCCCACCCCATGGCTTTGAGTCCCATGGGCTCTTTACTGCTATAGTAACCAAGCTGATGGACTTGGGAGTCAGTTACGGGAGGTTTCTAGTGTCCACTCTGCTTATTGCCTCTCTCTGATTCCCACAGGAGCACAGACCTGGGCAGAGAAGCAATGATCACCCTGCCTCCTGAGGTACCCCCATCACACGCAGTGTCACTGCATATCACGTGCATCACACTCAGCACAACCTGCCATGATGGGTTATGTATCTGAACCCAGCAGGTTCCCCCATTGGCGTTTAGGCTCTAGGGTGGCAAGGAACTTATTTGGTTTGGTTCCTAGTGCTGAGTGCCATGCCTGGGTGACAGCTTCTCAGTGACAGTGGTGGTTAAAAACAGCTTCAGAACAACACAGTGAAGGTACTTGGAGCATATTGAGAAACCAGGATTTATGGAAAAAATTCTCTAGGAAGAACTGAATGTGTGAGGAATATAAATTAGCCCTATCGTTTTTGAAAAGCAGTTTGGCAGTCCCTAACAAAATAAAAAATGAATACATCCCTTGATGAAGCAACTTGACTTCTAGGAATTGTCCTTAGAGAAATAGGAGTGTAGGTGCCTAGAGATCCATAAGGTACAGTTGCATTCATTCACTTGAGCATTGGTTGCTGCAGCAAAGTGAAAGTGGGAAACAGCCAGGTGTGTGTGTGTGTGGTGTGTGTGTGTGTATGTATCTATCTAAGGTATATATGTACTCCTCTGCAACTTAAAAAAGAAAATGCAGATAGAAATGCACTGGCATGGTGGGCNTTATTCTACACATTTATAGAAGTAACAGTTTTACTGGGGAAATAGTTTTCACCCAATCACCATATATTTAAAAGGTATTATGTTGAACTATAAACTCCAAATAAGGCCAGTTAGCAGTAACACAGGCTGCAGCTCTTAATAGCTGAGACACCTGGGTCTGGAGGGGTTACCTGACCCTGAAAGGTGGGTTCTCTGTTTTAATTTGGAACGAGAATGGTAGACAGAGGTCAGCAGACAGGATTGTATTTCTATGTCAGCTACACTTTTCAGTGTGAGTGAAGGTAAACTGTTCTGATGCCTGTCCAGGCACAAAAGAAAAAGCCACCAATGGTTCCCCACCTTGCCCATCCTAGTTTGCTTAGGGGAGGGCATTTCCCTAGGTGAGCTGGGAAAATGGGGAAAATTCATTTTTTGCCTGTTAAACTTTCTTTTGCACATAGTTTACAGTCAAAACATTTTCCTTGTCACAAAATGAAATTTTACCCAAAGAGTAAAAATTGTTAAAAAAAAAAAAATCAAAAGAACCAACTCTGACAAAATGAGAGCTTCGTAACAGAAACAGAAGCTAGCAGGCACTGTGACAGTGATGGAAGCACCCAAAAGCTGGTCCTTCCAGACTGATACCAGTTGCCCCTTTTCTTGAAGATGGGGCAGCCTCACTGCTTACCTGAGAAAGTTGGTTGCTTTGGGGATAAAACTGCTCTGTCCTCCAAGATGTTGGCTCAAGGGTCTTTCCCCATTATGGAGAAGGCTGAGCAACTTACATCATGAGTTCTGAACATACATTTAGGATGTGGATATGGGGACCCTAGTGTAGTGACCTGGCCAAACCAAAACTGAATGGTGGTATTGGGACACATTTCTCAGGATCTTAAGGCGCTACAGAATAAATGGCAAGTGACCCTTTTAAAATATATCAGTGTAGGGCAGCGACAGAAGAAAGTGAAAGGGTGAAACAGTGAAGGTCACAGTGGAAAAGGAATAGCAAATTTTTTTTATGATGGAAGCCCTTCCTGAAAGAATTCAGGTCCTCTGGTCCTGCCCAGCCCTGCCAGCATTCTGCTTGACATTTAACCTGTTAAAGCACCGTATGCTAACCATCACCAGTTGGGGGGCCTCAATGATCATTCCCTCACCCCCTGCCCTTCCTAACAGCAGAGCGAAGCCTTGGACTGGTGGTTCTATACAGTCTCTTAAAAGAGGTGGGACTGACCTGCAACACACCTACTCCATGCCCTGCCTCTTGCCCTTAGAGAAATGAGGCGGGTCCAGAGCTGCATCTGTACCCGGGTGGATGAGCTTGGATTCCTGCAGAACAGCAATACTAGTGCCAGGCGGGGGAGGGGAGATTCAGGCTCCTCTGCCTCTGAGAAACTCCGAATCAACAGGGTTCTCAGCGCTAAGCCCTGGCTGTTAATATGGCTCCACTGGGAGGGGAACCCCAGTCAGAAGCGGGCTCCCTTCCCAGCCCTGCCTCCCCAGCGAGCTGAAGGAAGTGTCATTCTGTACAGAGCTGGTCAGGCACAGCGCCAGAGGCTCTACCTGTAAGGAGACTGTATCTTAGAGTTGATACGTGGGACTTGAAAACCGAAGCCTGGCTGCAGTAGGCAAATCTAGACGTGAACATACTGTGTGTGTGTCAGCTTTCCCTTGAAGAAGGAAAGAGGAGAAATCAGGGATGCCAGAGACAAGATCACTGTCGACCAAACAAGAAAAGAATAGAAACTCTTACAAAACAAATGCCTGCGACATTGCTGAGGCACAACCTTCAGAACAGACAAAGCCAGTGCTGAAAGCAAAGCGGGGCCTGCTGAGCACGGCACACAGGGCAGGTACGTACAGGCTGTCCGCGGGGCTGGGAGGAGCAGGGTCCCCTGGATACAGTCTGCACAGTGTCACCAGGGCCAGTCACCCCCGGGGCTGAGTCCAAGTGCTGACCTACCTGCCCCTCCCGTTCTCACCCTCCCAGCAGGGACTGTCTCCCGGCCCTTCTCTCCTCCGTGACCTGTTTCCGCTCAGGCCGAACGTGGGTGCCCGAGTGCCACTTAAAGTGACGTCTCATTGGTGTGTGGCCTGGAGTTCTCCTCCTCCAGCAGAGCTATCCTTTGCTTGAGCATCCTCACTTGGGTCTCGTGTCTCTCCACCATGGCCATCATCTGAGACTCCAGCTTCTTCAGTTTGTTTTGATGCTTCTTCTTTGCTTTCTCATAGGCAGCCACGAGGTTGCTGGGGGGACAGGGAATGAGAGTGCAGTCACCCTAAGTGGCACTGAGGCGCACACTGTCACTGGTAACCAGTCCAGTAAGCAGCATGCTGCAGAAACGGGTCACTCGGCCTCTTCAGTAAGAACGAAATCAAGTGGTTAGTAGTTCAACACTTACGGCCATTCCTGTATTGGCTTAACCATGATTAATTCAGCCAGACTGCTAGAGGCTTGTCACTAACATTAGGAGGGGTTTAAACCAACAGTCTAAACTAGCCACACCCAAAATAGATACGCAGAAAAGGTAACTGAATTCCAGAAATCTGTCGCTTAAATACAAATAGTGTGTGTGGTGTTCCATGGCTGCCTGCAACAGTTGGTCAAGTGTAAGTTACACGAGCGAGTTCCTCACGCACTGAGGTCAAAGGGACCACCCAGGATGGAGGCAGAGCCTCCGACCACTTCCCTGTACGCCCCAGGCTGGCCGGATTCAGGGGCTTCAGCGCACACAGGCCGTTCATAAGCTATCGCTGCCCACAGAACACAGAGTGTAGGCCTCTGAACTGTTCCCCTGAGAGCCCAGTGAGGAGGGCGGGGTGAGCCCAGGGCTAGGTAAGTCCTCATACCCTCTCTGCTCAAAGCAGCACCCCGAATCCCATGTATAGTCAGGTTCTCAAAGTGGCCTGAGGACTGACCACCGGGGATTCTCAAAGCCCTTTCCGGGGAGGTCTGCAAGGTCTCGTATTTTCTACCTGCAATCTGTGTAAAGCTGGGTTTTTTCATTAACATCTCAAAACAATATATATTGCCCGTAAAAGCAATGTGAGAATCTAGCTGTCGTCTATTAAACCAGACATTAGGGACTTGTAAAACAGTAATGTAAAACAGTAATAGGGCTATTACTATTGTTTTTTGTACAATGTTATTTTTAAATGCCATGCGTATTTCAAGTAGTGAATTTATTGTTTCTTAAATGAATTAATAAAAACTAAAATTTTTGTGTTTTAGTTTCTAAAATGAAGTGGCGATTGACAATTTATAAGAACGAAGCTCTTTGAGATCCTCGGTTTTGGATGAGAATAAAGGTGTCTCAAGCTCAAAAAGTCTGCGCGTGCTGTCTTAGAGCAGTGCTTCCTCAAGTGTTCCGCTGGATATTAAATGCTGCTCAAATAAAAGGTTCTGGAGCCAGTTTGTTTGGGAAACATTGGCTTAAACACAACGAAATACATTTTAAAAATTGTGTGGCTTCAGAACCTTTACTATATGAACCATTAAGAGGACAGACCACACACGGTATGCTGCGTTTCCCAAACACATTTGGCCAAAGGACTTGTTTTTACCCAGCATTTCTTCGGTTTCTAGGGAACACATTGGGAAACGGCCACAGGGAAGGCCAGGCTGTAAGGCTGGGCTGACTGCGCAGGCGAGAACTTGCCCTTCTCCAGTTAGTTCCCAGCAATTATGGGAATGTCCTCTCTGGTGTGCACTCCAAGTCGCCCCGGGGAATCTACAAACCTGTTGGCTCGCTTTAGGTCGTTAACGAACTCCGCTGATTGCTGGTGTCGGATTTCACTGCTCTTGGTGAGTCTTTCCAAGGCGCTCACCAACTCCTGAACTCTGGCCTTTAACTTCTTTTCTCTGTACCAAAGAGACAAAGACTACCATGAGTAACGAGATGGTGGAGGTGGCTACCACCCTGGAAGTGGTGGCAGAAAGGAAGGTTTAGCTGGCCAAGTCAAAAGGCAGGGGAACAGAAAGGAAGATACTACAGGGCAACCAGGCCGCCCTTTGCCCTCTGGAGCCAGAACACCTCACCATAGCATCCTTTTTTTAAAAGATTTTTGCTGGGGAATTGGGGGAAGGGGAACAGACAAATTGCTGTCGTTTTGTTCTTCAGTCTAGTTGTGGAGGACGTTGCTTCACTGGC